GTAAATATAATATAAGAAAGCATTTAAATTGTCTCCAAATCTTTAATTTAAATAAAAAATCTAAGAAATATAATTATTTTGAAACAAAAAGAATATAATTATTATACATAATGTTTGATAAAACTTATAAATATTTGTTTTAAAAGTAAAATTTTCTTTCAGAAATTTAAAAATTTATTGGAAGTAAAATTAAAAATTGACTTTTAAAGTAGTTTTTAAATAAGTTTTAAAAAATTTAGATGTGTAGTTTGTTAAATACCCAAATTAACCAAATTATAATGAAAATTTAATTTATAGCAATTTTGGTTAATTTCTGAATACCAACTCAAATTAAATTTGGAAATTTTCAATTAATTAGCACTAATTTTTTCTGAATAAAGAAATGGGTTTAATTAACTAAATTTAGAGCTTTTCTAACCTTTACCTAAAGGCACAAGATTAGAAAAACCCTTAAATTTATTAAAACATCTAATATATTTTTCCTTTAGTAAACCACCTATTGGAGACTATAATCTTTCCATTTGTGAAATTTACACTTAATTTAAAATGTAGTAGAGTTTAACCAGGAAGAATTGGATTCATCACTAGTTAGTAAAATTTAAGATCTATATTGGTGTACTTTAAAAAAAATTATTAATTTTGAAGCATTTTAACTAACATAAAGTACTGATATCTTATTAATTGTAAAATTGTTTTTTTTTTCTTTTATTAATTTTATTTTCAAAATTACTTAAAATTAGTTTTACTTTCAAATTGATTTTATTCATTTATTTGAATAAAACAATCAATTATTTTATTTTTAAAATTGAATTGATTGGATTTCACATTAATTTGACTCAAATTGCATTTTAATTAATTTAAAATTTTCATTCAACAGTAGTGTTTTGATTTTAAATAGATTTTACAATTTAATTATTATATTATATATAAAATAAATAGATTATAGATTAAAGAAAAAGGAAAAAATGTAAAAATATAAAAAAAATGAGAAAAAGAACCCATTTGTGTTCACCAAATTTTACTAGATTTGACCAAGTTTAATCGGGTTTGGTTGAATTTGAGCAGGTGTTGACCACACCAAATTTTGACTGCTACTAAGTTAATATCTTTTAGGAGTAGGACCAATCCTTGTGAAACCAGTTAATTTGTTCTATTCGATCTAAATTTTAAAACAAGTGATAAAAACCATCCCAAACACACACTACAAATTTTCATCCTCCTAATTAAAAATGAAAATTTTTTTAAACTTACTCTAGTGAGATAATTGCTCTCAACTTGTATAGAAGTAGCAAGCTAACCAGATATTACTTGAAAACCTTTGACCCACTCTAAATTTAACTCTCTTTTTTTTTTTTTTATGCTTTGAATTTTGTTCGGAATTCAGCAATTCGCATTTAAAGGATCAACTAGAAGTTACCTTTGCACCTTCATCTAAGGAGGACCCATGTCCAAATATTATATGTCCTTCAATTGGCTTTCTCGTTGACTTAAGGCAGAAGTGATCTCTTCTCCTCAGCTGGCTAATCAAACTCCTCTCATAAGAAAAAATCAGGCTGCTGCTACTTCTTTGGTTGGCCTTGTTCTGTTATCAGTGTCCAACTTGAATTTCTTCCTACTAAACCTGCTCCAGGTACACACAGGACACTAGCTATCTTTGAACTTCAGTCTTGATTTTGATTTATATGTTCGATCTCATTAGAGTTTGAATAAATAAAGTAAAAATATCGAACAGTTTTTATGTAGATCCATGGGTTTAATTATTAGAACAGAGAAAAGAAGCTTCATTTCTTTTTTTTTTTCTTAATGATATGAAGCTTCATTTCTTGTTAGATTTCTTAATTTTAAAATGGAAATCATGTGAAAATTTTATATAAATAAGTACACAACTTTTTACAACTTTTCTAGTCAAATACATGGGATTGTTTCATTATCAATCAATGTTATCACCTTTTAAAAGTATATAATTAAGTAATATTTGCAATTTTTACTAAAGAACAACTAAGTTGAATGACATACATACATGGTTATTCCCTTGATTAAAATTCTTTTTAAAAATGATAATCTTAATTAGTATAATTACAAAGGTTATATTCTTAATTAAAAGCTTTTGAAAAGTGATAGTTGTAATTATTAAAGAAAAAAAGTTATATCATTAATTAAAATTTTGTTGAAAAATTATGTCCTTATTGGTAGGAAATCTCTAATCTTGTGTGCGGTCTTTTTGGGGTACTTCAAGTAAATAGAGAAGTTTCTTCAAGTGATCATATTTGAATTTTTTTTTTCTCATTTTCAAATATTTTAATTTTTTTCCTATCATTGATGCATATTTTTTTTACATAATTATAAATTTGAGACCCACTTAAATACTTAAAAAAAAAATACCCACTACAATATCTCTTAAGATCTAATTAAAAATGAATTTGGGTAAATTAAAGAAAAAAAATTGGGTCACCTCTTTTGTCTATTTCTCAAACCATAAACTTTTCTCTTCTTGCAAAAACTGCCAAAAACTGTTTTGCTCCTACACCCATTTGCCTTCGGGTTTTGCAGGTTATTGCAATTCTTTGCTTTGTTTGCATTTTCATTTCTGTTGTTGGACCTAATCTTATGGTTTACCCTTTTATTAGGAATGTTAGGCAATGGGAACTCAGTCCCAAATTGAGATTGAGTATTGATATGCTTCCAATTGATTCTGCTATTTTTTTTCTAAATTAATATGCTTCTAATTTATTTGCTTCTGCAATTTATCCACAAATTACCTTCTGCATTTGTTTTACTAAAGTCAATTAGAACCATTATTTAGAGGCTTTAGAGGCTTAAAATATAATCTTAATGAAAAATAATTGCTGTACTCCGATTCAATATTCTTGCGTACATTCACTGATTTAGGTATTAAATCTTATTGTTGAAATTTTTTATTTTAAATTTAAATTTAAAAATAATAATTTTTTTATAAAT